ATGCTTTGACAGCTTTTTGTTAATCTTTGGATTTGTTTTGATAATCATTTTAATTACACGCATAAGTAATATTACTTTAGCAAACATGGGACAGGAAGCGGAAGCAGAAGTGCTATCGGCGAATAGCATGTGCTGGAGCCGAACAACGGGAAGCAGAAGTGGAAGTGGGCTGGAGGGGAGCGGAACGGTTATTTTAATTATTTTAATAATGAATATTTAATAACTCAAATTATTTTTGAGCTTATAAATAGGTCTGTAGGAGAGGGTGTTCTCAGTTGATTCAAAATTTTCTAGAAGAAAATCGTCCTGCACGTCCTGCATAGTGATGAAGAGTTGCAGCGAAGAGTTATGGCACAGAGTTGTCGCGACGAGTTGCAGCGCAGAGTTGCGACAAAGAGTTGCGGTATCGAGTTACGGTGTTGAGTTGCGGCGCAGAGTTGCGAGGCAGAGTTGCGACAAAGAGTTGTGATACAGAGTTCTGGCACAAAGTTTCAGTGAAGAGTTGTGGCGCAAAATTCCGGTGAAGAGTTGCGACGAAGAGTTCAGGTGAAAAGTTCCAGTGCAGAGTTGTGACGCAGAATTCTGGTGCAAAATTACAGTGAAGAGTTGAGACAAAAAAGGAAATTTGTCCCCATCCTGTGTAGCCAAGCAACGAAATTTTCTTTCTCGTTGAGGTGTATTTCGGAGATGATGAAGAAATGTTGTAGTTTTCCCACCACGCTTTGAGAGGAAAATTTTTATACTTATGTGTAGCAATATCTGGAGACCCGCTGACGATCATCAGAAGTACTGAAATTTTGGGGAGGTGATGTCGACTATGCTCGAAGATGACTTAATTTGTTGTAGCCCTTGTACAAGTATATGTTGATATTTGTAGCTTTTTTACTCGGCTGATGTAACATTTATAAGTGATGATAGTGTATTTCTTTGTCGCTTCCACGATTGTTGTGGCATCTTGATAGTGTATTTCTTTGTCGCTTCCACGGTTGTTGTGGCATCTTAATCATGCAAAATTCTATGATTAAAGTTAGTACACACTTTATAAAATAGAGAATTGTGTACCTTTTAAGACGCATGCCCTCTGAGGTTGTGCCCTCTCAGGCTTATGCCTTATAGGAGCTTTGAGTGGAGACCTTGTCAACCACTTGCTTTTGTGGAGTTACTTTTTACTGAGGACCTTGTCCACTACTAGCTTTCCAATGAGACTTGTCTCTTAGGCTTGATTTCTAGAGGCATGGATGAAAAAAGAATCCATTAAAGATGTAGACCAGTTCTAGGTTGTATAACCGGAGATGCTTAACGATATTAACCCGTAATGAACAGAGTCGTATGAAATTCACTGAGGATGGTTGACCTATACTAGTTTGTTGGTTGAAGCTTTTGTTTGACAACTAAAACCTATTATGGAAGAGGTCAAAGAAAATCCACCAAGGATTTTTGATCTATCCAAGGTTGTATGACAAAGCTTTTGCCTGACGACTGTAGTATGAAATGGAAGAGGTCAAAGGAAATCCACCAAATATTTTTGGTCTATCCAAGGTTGTATGTCGAAGCTTTTGCTTGAAGACTGCAGCATGTAATGGAAGAGGTCAAATTGAGTTCCCCTAGGATTGATTAATCTCAGAATGAGGTGTCAGAGATGCTCTGTGTTTCTTGAGACTGAGGTGTAGGTCGTAATGGACCGTATGTTTTCTTGGAAATATAGTTGCAGTCATACTCAAGAAAAATGATTGACAACTTGTTAGATGATGTTTTTGAATCTTTTGCTCTCCCAGCAGAGGTGTTTTCCATGCGAGCTTGTAAAACAACATATGAATCGGGCCTGGAAGAGATCAGTTTCTTAATTTAGATGAAGAAGAACTCTATTACAATGAGAGGGAGCTGAAGAAGAGTTATTTGCAGTGAAGATTGCCCTCCAATCTAGGTGTGATTCTCAAAGACTTGCAATCAAAAAGAAATAGGGGATGACTTCCTCACCAAGTCATACCCGAAACGTTAACATGAACGACCTTTCGTGGTTGAGGTGAAGGTTGCCTCCAGCCTGGAAGATGTTGTGAACTACTTTGTGTCTATATAAGATGAGAGAAGACAACCCCACTACAATCGTGTGCAAGACGTTGACGTGAATGACCTTTCTAAGCTATAGTAAAGGTTACCCCCCACATTGAAGAACGCTTCGAAGATGATCTTAAAGATATGAAAGAGGTTCCTTAGCCAGTTAGATGAAGTACATCATTAGGAAAGGAAGTAGGGGCTCATTGTCTGAGAGTTGAAGATAATGCCAAACGAGATTTCATTTCTCACAGACAGCGCCAAACTGATGCGTGCTAGAAAATTCATGGCGGTAGAATATGGATTATCATCTTAACATTGTATGAGAATTCAATACACGCGGATAAAAGAAGAGAAGTAAGCGAAAGGAGACACCTCGACTTTTTACATGAAAAACTCTTGAAAGGGAGAAAACCATGGGGCCTAGCCCAGTTGAAATAATCCACTATGAATGATGAGTACATAGATCCATGCTTCTCCTAAATTAGGAAAGATGGAGTTACAAAGTTTTATAACTATAATCTGGCTTCTGGCTACAGTTCTTGGTGACAATATGTTGCAAGGGTCATTGTTGATTGTTGTGAAGGTAATCTGGCTACAGTTCTTGGTGACAACATGTTGCAAGGGTCATTGTTGATTGTTGTGAAGGCAGTAATATATCGTGAGTATTGTAGATGGTTGCTCCAGAAGAATTGATTGGTTAGAGAAACTGTAGTAAGTCGTTGCGAGAGCAGTGGACCACACTGGCCATAGTGGCGAGAATGAATGACTTCCGTAGGCCGCAGAGGCCGGAGTAGGGAGTTGTACAAGCTGTGAAGCACGTAGGCTGTAGGGGCAAGTATGAATGACGTCCGTATGCTACGAGGGCTAGAGTCGGGAGCTGCATGAACTCATTACCACGTAGGTCGTTGTTGGCACATGGACCGTAGTAATGAGCTCTTGTCCCACAGACGAGAAATGATTACTAAATTTTCTAAGTTATAACATTGACTGACGACGTTTGGCGGTAGGTGGTGGTCGACGACGGTTGGCGATGGTCGACGACTATCGGTGGTGATCGACGTCTGTTGGCGATGATGCTGAGATGCAGCTCCTTCTCAAGACCTTAAGCTCTTTCTCTAGACTTCAGTCCCCTCTCATGTGAGGAGTGAGAGTTTATTTATAGTGTTCGGGGCACAATTAATGCAGGAATATGAACCATTTTGATCGGACGATCAAGAGAGCTTTCTTAAATCAGACGACGTTTGATGGACATTTGAGTGCCTTAACGATGTCGAAATTGAGTGATCTTGCACTCTTTGGATTCGTTATGTCGAGATGCTCGATTCGAGTAAAGGCTTATCACCGTCTACATTCCTTTGACTTTCCAAATGCGTCTGAAAATCTTCAAAGAATAGTTAATGACTTTATCTGGGCTTGATTTTTCTCGGATTGTACTAGTTTTTCTATCATTAGGTCTGTTTCATCGAGTCGGTTAGTTTGACTATAAGTTTGTTGAAATCTATGGATCAATTTTTATCAAGATTTGAACATTTCTTGCTCAAAATAGTGCATCGAGATTCATATAATGCCTTGAGATTTGTGCAGAATGATGAAAATTTGTTGGTGTTGTACCAAGTATATTTCATAATTCCTTGGAAAAATGATGGGCAATATTATATTATGTTTTAGTTTCAATCTTTTACATGATTGTAAGGTGAATACCCGGAGGGTTTTACTTCCATATTATGATATCTGAATAAAATATGCCTTTTTGGACATGCGTCTGATGATATGCATCATATGTCATAATATAAAATTGTCATTTATAGTTTCAATATCAAATTCATAAAATTTAATGCTATTATTGTCAAGTTATTTACCATATTTTATATGCAGTTTAATCGTAGCAACATGAAATAGAATATGGGGATTGTTCTACTAAACAATACCAAATGTGTATTTTAATGTAATAAATAAATAAATAAATAAATAATAAAAATACTTAAATTTTTGATGTGATATGAAAGATATTATTGATATAAATGTAAAAATAAAATAAAATTTAGGCGTATTAAAATACTTAAGAGCTGGGTGGTATGTTTGTAAATGTCTCAAAACACTTTTGCTGCAAATTTGAAAAAGAATAGAGATTTTATTTTATTTTTCGAATGTTTAATAACTACTTTGAAGTAAAATATTCACACTATTAATAACATTTTAATATTTGAAGCTTC